GCGAGGTTGAGATGGTTCGGACATGTTAAGGGAAGTACAAAAGCCCCAGTAAGAAGGTGCGAGCGGTTAGCCTCGGTAGGTAGCAGAAGGGGTAGAGGTAGGCCTAAGAAGTCATGGAGAGAGGTTATTAGGCGGGACATGGCACAGCTGGAGCTGACTGAGGATATGGCCCTAGAAAGGAGGGTGTGGAGGTCAAAGATTAGGGTAGAAGATTCGTAGGTAGTCGAGCATTTCTCTTTGTCTTACTCAGTTCACTAGCATTAGTGTTAGTATGATATCTTCTATCCATAGATGGCTATTACTACCTAGAGTTTGACTGCATTCTTGGATTCAATCTTATTTTATCTTGTTGTTTTTCTTACTTGTTGCAATTGCCTTTTCTTTTTCAGTCGTTCTCTAGCCGAGGGTCTATCGGAAACAGCCTCTCTGCCCTTCCAGGGAGAGGGGTAAGGCTGCATACATCTTATCCTCCCTAGACCCCACTTGTGAAAAACTACTGAATTTGTTGTTGTTGTTGTAAAGGATTAATCATAGTTAAATCATAGTTATTTACATCAGGTAGCCGCTTTGTGGCCTATATTTTAAATTTACCATAATTTAAAAATATATTGTAAATCTAGCCACTATTGGCTACACAACATGCGACTTCTACTTCCTATCTCCTCTTCTTTTTCCTACATTTTATTATTTTTCTGCATCTTCTTCTTCCACCCTCTCTTTTTCTTCCTATTTCGTCGTCGTTATTTGCTTCTTTTAATTTTGATTTAAAATTTGACACAAGTACTAGATTGAAATTTATACCACAGGTGTAACAGTTCAAACTTGAGATTTCTTGTCTAAAGTTAACCTATGGTACTTTGACCTAAAGTTTACTTTTTTAGCTAAAGTTGCACTAATTTTTAATTTGTGGACATAACTTTTAAGAGCAGCCTTAAAAAAAGTGGCTATCTGTGCAAATGGCTCGAAAAATTCTTCGTAAAAATAAAGCCAGATAGCCAACTCTAAAGGGCTGCTATGTAGGAATTAGTCAGTGCGTCCTGTATTTCGGTTTTTCATTACAAAAATTATCTGAATTGTCTTGAAGTTAAGATTGTTAGTTTAAAAATTTTGGACAAAATAAGTACTGGCCATTTGCTAAATAGCATCCCTGAAAATGGCTATGTATGCACTTGCCTCACATTCTTCCATGAGATCCGACCCGTTTTAAGTTTCTGAACAGTACAAAAAAAGATCCAACGACCACTTACAATCGGGTCGAAATACAAATGATGTTACGGTTACTGAAGCACGGAAGAATTCCGGCGAGTGATCTCTCCCGCCGGTGGATGAGCAGCAGCTGTAGTAGGAAAACTACGGTGATGAGCTTCGGTGATGGAAGCCACGGGGCATTGGGCTTGCCGTCGTCCATCATTGGTATGGGCTCCGACGCTTACGAGCCCACTCCTATTCCGGGCCTTCCGCCCGATGTTGTTACCATCGCCGCCGGTCACTTCCACTCCCTCGCCGTTACTTCTGAGGGTCATGTTTGGGCTTGGGGCCGTAACAATGAAGGCCAGCTTGGCCGTGATCCTCTTTCTCCAAGGTCTTCTCGCCCCCTTTATACATGTGTTTGTATATGTATTTTCTATTAAAAATTAGCAAGTGTGTTTGTTTCATTTTAGCTTGATATGAGAAAATTGACATTGTTTATGTGCCAATAAGCTTTCTTTCTCTGTGTACATTTGGTAGCATATGGCTGGTAGAGAATTTTTGAGTAAATATGGCTAGTAGAAAATTGTTAATTTCGTTATCTCAATCAACTGACTCTTGTTAAACACAAATTTGTTGTAGCTAGGTACATGAATCCTCTATATCATTTGGCTTTATTCAGGAGACGTGCCCCGAAGTTAGTATTGAGGGGGTTGTTAAACTATTTTTAAGTTCGTTATCAAGCAACGAGGGTCGGATATAGGCTTTAAGAGGATTCGGCAAAACACAATAGCTTTTGCCCAAGCCCCTCCACTAAGCATGTACAAAAAAAATAGTTACTGAACTTGAGGTCACTTTCCTAAAATCCTGAACACATAAAATTCAAATCCTGAATCCGCTCAGTACTTGCAACCCTATTCAAAGAAACTACTCATATCTTTTAAATTCCAATCTGATAATGTCAAGTTTATGACATTGGGATTAACTAGTAAGAGGAGTTTAAAAGCTGAAGATTCATATATCTTAATTTTTTTCCCTTAGGGCATTTTTCTCTTAGAATTTCTTTAGTCTATGTCTATTTCTTCACCCTCAGTATTAAGGAAAGATCATCAATAAACTAATTTCAACCTACGCGAGTCACTAGAAGCTGGCTGCAAATATTACAGATGAAAGACAGTTGTCGGGAGGAGGCTATATCAATGAGTATTTAGTGGTCATTGGAAGTCCTTGTTCTCATTGAATCAATGAATTATAATACTTTCAGAAGGGTTATCCTCTAAGGCAATTAACTTACTTTTGTTTCTGAGGACACTTGGAAAACTCTGATGATTTGCTGCTATATATGTAAATGACTAACATTCCAAGAAAAATTCTGTCCAAAAGATGATCTTGACAATCTGATGTAACTGAAACCATTAGTTCCTTGATCTCTGGCAACAGAAAGTTGTAATAGCAGTGGACAACTGGTTTGGTCAATCAGACAACCACAGCCTACTTGCAAACTTCCTTTAAAGAATGTTGCCATGATAATGATGACAGAAGCACATTTCTCCATTGCACTGAAAATAGAGTTTGTTTTTCTTAATGCCTTATTTCTTTCTTCCTTTAGAATGTGTTGTGCTAGAATGTGGTATGAATATCCATTTAGTTTTTTCTCTCTTTTCTTTTCTGTGAACTAGAAATATTATGGAATTAGGTTTCTCGCTTCTGTTAGTTGTTTCGGTTGTAATGACAAGAAATTAAGCCCTCTTCATCAGGTGCTCTGTAGCCATGTGAATTGTTCTTTTTCTTTGTTGCATATTTTTATTTTCCGAAGAAACTACATACTTTTCCTCCTCGATTCTGGCTAACATGGAAATCCCTTTTGTCGACCTTGTTCAGAGAATCGTGGAACGAACCAAAAAGAGTTGAAGGATTAAATAAAGTGAAAGTTCAAGCCGCATTTGCATCAGGTGCCATTTCTGCTGCCATTGGAGACGATGGATCTCTCTGGGTTTGGGGAAGTTCCAAGCGCGGGCAGCTTGGTCTTGGCAAAGGAATCACCACAGCTGCCATACCTTCTAGAGTTGAAACACTTTCTGGACAAGACTTAGTTAAGGTGGTCATTCGAACATGCTTAAGGTAGAAGAATTTTTACTTGTCAAAAAAATAGGTGGAAAAAGTTAAACTGAAAACACATAATGATATGATGAACAATAATAACCAAGTTAAGTAGATGGTGAATAGTACTCAATTGCTTCAAGTTATTTTCGGAAGCATAGGCTTGTTGTCAATTCTTTTGGTGTTGGCAGGTATCATTAGGCTGGGGGCATGCTCTTGCATTGGCTGAGAATGGGAATTTGTTTGGCTGGGGATATTATTCAGATGGTAGAATAGGCAATATAGGAAGAGAGTTGGAGATCTCTCCACTGGAATCAAACAGTACTAAACTAAGTTCAGGAGAAGAATCTTCTGCAATTGAAGCTGCTGAGAAGTCAGTCATGGAAGCCATGGAGAAGGAAAAGGACATGCCTATAATTTGGGAGCCCGGTTCAGTTGAGGAGTTACATGGGTTAAAAGTTGCAGATGTGGCTTGTGGACTCGACCACTCTTTAGTCCTTTGCTGTAAGTCACATTATTTGATGTCTATATACTTGAAATGTGCATGAATATGTGGTGATGGTGGTTTTATTTTCTAATTTTAGGCGATGGGGCATTATTTAGTGGTGGAAGCAATGTTTATGGCCAGTTAGGAAGACTCAATAAAGACTTGGGGATGCGACCTGTTGATATACAATTCCGTCCTCTCTCTATAGCTTCAGGTTTAGGGCATTCTTTGGCAGTTTGTCATGGTGCTTCATCAGAAGCAACAGAAGACGCAACAAGAGTTGTATCTTGGGGATGGAACCGAAGTTCTCAACTCGGGAGAGAAGGTCCAGAGGACATTCCTCAGGTTGTAGAGGGGCTGGCTGGCGAGACGCCTATTTCTGTGTCAGGAGGACGTGCACATTCCCTTGCTCTCACAGCTAAGAAAGAGGTTTGGGCTTGGGGCTGTGGGAAGAATGGGAGGCTTGGGTTGGGCAGCTCGACTGATGAAGTGGAACCTATGCTGGTTGAATATTTGGAGGGTACTGAAGTTATTCAAGCTGTTGCAGGGTTGGATCATAGTCTTGTTCTGGTTGCTGAATAATGCAATGAGAAATACGGAGTACATAGTTGTAATTTTTCCTGAAATTTCTTTCTTCTGTTTGTGTTAGCTTCACTTGCTCTACTTCAATAAAATGGTAGAACCACTTACGTTTGCCGTATAAGATTAGCTTTAATATTGTCATTTACCACAAAGAGAGTGGTGAGCTCTTTGTGATGTAAACAAGCTCTAGGCTGTCAGCATAGTTTAAAATATGAGATTTTATAAATATTAGCTTTTGATTGTGAGAATGGCTTCTTTGCTTAAGGCATAAAGCGATTTGACTTATTTACAGATGTCAAACAGCCTCTTGCAGAAATGAAGGGTAAGATTGTGTACAATAGACCCTTGTGGTCTAGTCCTTCCCCGGACCTTGCGTATAGCGGGAGCTTAGTGCACCGGGCTGCCCTTTAAATTGTATAATCATGAAGGGAACTTCCTTGACTTATTAATTCATCAAACATTTCAGCTCTTCCCAAGTTGGGGTGTAATATTGCCTCCATTGTACATCATCTATATTTCTTAAAATTGTATTAGAGTAGGCTGTCTACATCACACCTTTAGGGGTGCGACTCTTCCCGATTCGCGCGTGAATGCAGGATGCTTTGTGCACCGGGTTGTCCCTTTTGTTCTGTAATCTTAAAGATGAATCCATCAAGCTGAAGATCTTAATCTTGAAATTTCTGAAAAAACTCCATGAACAAATGTTTGCTTTCAAAAATATCAAGAAGTAATGCTTGGGAAGTTCTCAAATATCAGTGTATTTCGACCATGAATGGGGAAAAGCATCCTGCTATTGAAGATAGAGGGTATGATCCTACAAAACAGGTGCTTCGTCTTCATCATCCCTCGGACCGGTTGATGAGATTTTGGACAATTGATATGAGCGAACATTTGGAATCATGAAACTGTCTGTATTAGCTCGTCCCTAGTGCCTCTGTACTGGCTCGTTCCTAGTGTCTTTGAACGAACTAAAAGGCCTCTCTTCAACTCTCTAGGTTCAAAAGTTTGCAGGACTATCATCTAACTGTTTCTCATCTTCTATATCTACCTCCAAGATTTCCTGGAAAAAGAAAAAGATTCAAGAAAAAGCATGCTACTATTTAAAAAGTTACCCACAAAAATGAAAGAACTACAACAACAACAACGACGACGAACCCAGTGTATCCCTATAAATGGGGTCTGGAGAGGGTAATGTGTACGCAGACCTTACCCCTACCTTATAAAGATAGGGAGGTTGTTTCCGATAGACCCTCGGTACAAAAATGAAAGAACTGAGCATCAATATTAAGGAAATTAACACTGATATTTTAAATACTCACTGGGATTCTTTGCTTCAAGTAATTACCCAATCTTGCTACAACAGTAGAACGTTTATGCCAAAACTTGCCACTTAGTCTAAGCTTCACATAAGGTCCATCTACTTCTGCTAGTTCTGCTTTCCCTGTAAATTTTATTTCCTTTTTTTAGTGCAAGAAAAAAAAAACTTAAATTCCATTATTTCGCTCAAGGGTGTAAAGCTTAGAGATTAATGAAGTTAATGAATTTATGCGAGATCAGAGTTCAAATTTCAACAGAGGTAAAAAAACGTTGGATGATTTTTTTCATTTGTCTTAGCTCCCGTCTGGCCGTAGGGCTTTTTCTTGAAAAAAAAAAAAAAAAAAAAAAAA